GCAGACCAAAGGATCCCAGGTTTTATTCCTGTCAAGGGCATGTACCTTGGTTGCAGGCTCCTCCATGGTCAGGGCGCTTGCAGGAGACAATCAATGTGTTTCTCTCATATTGATGTTTCTCTCTGTCTTTCCCTTTCTCTTCCATTCTCCCTAGAAACCAATGAAAAAATATCCTCTGGTGAGGATTAACAACAACAACAAAAAGTTAGTTTGCCAAGCCTCCAAAGGCATTTCTGTTACAAGATAGTTTCTCAGGAAGTGGCTAATGAAGGTTATAATCGTTCTTTCTAAACTACAAAGCTCTTTTACATTCCTTATTTTTTTATATTTTTAAAATTGATTATAATTGGCATATAACATTATATTAGTTTCAGGTGTGCAACATGATTATATATTTGTATATATTGTGAAGTGTGCACCACAATAAGTCAACATCTGTCTCCATACATACATATTTACATTTTTTCTTGTGATAAGAAATTTTAAGATCTACCTTCCTAGTAACTTTCAAATATGCAACAGAGTATTGTTAACTATAGTCACCCTGTGTACATTTTGTTCCCATGACTTATTTTATGACCTTTTAACCACTTTCACCCATTTCACTTCTCACCTCTGGCATTCACTAATCTGTTCTCTATATCTATAAACTCAGTTTTTTTTCCTTGTGGTTTTTTTTTTTTTAATTTCACATATAAGTGATATCATAATAGTGTTTTTCTTTCTGTGACTGATTTATTTCACTTAGCATAATGCCTTCAAGGACCATTCATGTTTTTGGAAATGCAAGATTTTGTTATATTTTATGGTTGAATAATATTTCATATATATATATATATATATATATATATATATATATATATATATATATATATGTGTGTGTGTGTGTGTGTATACATTCACATTTCATTATCCATTCATCCATCAATGGACTCTTAGGTTGTTTCTATATCTTGGCTATCTATCTATATAAAAGGCTAATATGTAAAGTGTCCCCTCAGGAGTTCAACCAGGAGACTGGGAGTTTGATTGCTCATTATTTGTGCTGACCACCAGGGGGCGGTGCAGAATAAAGGAAGGTCCCAGCCAGCAGCCAGCAACCAGCAACTGGGAAAGGAAGGCTGGAAGGCCCAGATTGGCCCTGATGGTTGGCCAAGCCTAGGGATCCTACCCGTGCACAAATTTCTGCACCAGGCCTCTAGTTGTAAATAATTCTACAATAGACATGGGGCTGCATCTATCTTTTCAAGTTAGTGTTTTTGTTTTCTTTAGATTAATATCCAGAAGTGGATTTGCTGAATCATACAGTAGTTGTGTTTTTACTTTTTTGAGGACACTCCATACTGTTTTCTATAGTGGCTGCACCAATTTACATTCCCACCAATAGTGCACAAGGGTTCACTTTTCTCTATATCCACACCAACACTTGTAATTTCTTATATTTTTAATAATAGCCATTCTAAATGTAAGGCGATATCTCATTATGTTTTTGATGTGCATTTCTCTGATGATTAGTGATATTGAAACCCTTTCCATGTTGACCATATGTATGTCTTCATTGGAAAAATGTCTATTCAGATCCTCTGCCCATTTTTAAATCAGATTGTTTTGGAGGTAAGGTTTGCTATTAAGTTGAATAAGTTATTTAGATATTTTGGATGTCAACCACTCATATGATTTGCAATTATTTTCTTCTGTTCAGTAGCTTGATTTTTTATTTTGTTGATGCTTTCCTTTTCTGTGCAGAAGCTTTTTAGTTTGATATAGTCCTATTTGTTTATTATATTGCAATTTTAATGAATGAATTAGTTTTATGTGTGTTAACATGGTTACTGATGTATTCCCAGCTATGTTTCATAATAGTTTTGGAAATTACTATGCAAAAGAGACTCATTTGTGAGTGTGGACTTATAGTGCTGGTTTTTTTCAAGGTTACAAAGTTGAACATTTTATCATTTATATCTGATAACTTAGATAAATAGATAAAACATACATTGAATGTTAACAATAAACAGTAACAGTGCTACTGAAATATAAGACATTTCAGGTAAACTCTGACTTACACAACTCTTTAAAAAGTCTGTTATATATTTGGTACTAATTATATAACTTATCACTGGACTATCCTATTATTTTCTTATAGATCTTGTTCCAGGGTTGGGGTCAGTGGAACCAAGAGAAGAAGAGAAAATGAAAATAGTTCCTCTTCCTCTCCCATGCCTCCATACACCCCTGCCTATAACTCTTATCTACATAATGACATGCTCAGAGTAGGTTTTGTGAAGAAAAAAAAATCACCATTGCTGCATGCAAGCATGTATACTGTGTCCTTTTTTACCTCACAACTTAAATGTGGTCTTTCCCTGAATATTTTCTCATTAAACTATAAATCTGCTCTCAACAGAAAGGAGGGTAAAATGAATCATTAAAATAATAGTGACCATTATAATTACATTATATAATCATATATATTTAAACAAAAGTATAATTTTTCTAGATAATTAACCTGTATCATAATCATGCTTTAGGCTTAAAAACATAATATGGCCCGGCCTGTGTTGCTCAGTGGTTGAGTGTCAATCCATGAACCAAGAGGTCACCTGTTTGATTCTCAGTCAGGCAGGCTCGATCCCCAGTAGAAGGCGTGTGGGAGGCAACTGATAGATGTTTCTCTCTCATCAATGTTTCTGTCTACCTATCTATTCCTCTCTCTAGAATCAATAAAAATATTTTTTAAAAAGATAATGTGTTTCTTATGGCAATTTTAACAATATTCAAGCTAAAAATAAAATAATTCTAGTTCATAATATTCTTATTTTTAGCAAAACCTGAACTCTAAATGTATTTGGTCTGCTTCTTAATTGTTACCTTTAAAATATTGCTTCTGATAACCAGTGTCTACAAATACCTCTTTTATTAAATTTATACACATTTGTATTGATTATGAACATATAATTGGAATAGGTAAGTACAGTCCCAAGTTACTAAATTAAAAAATTAAAAAGCATGATTTTTCAGAGGAATTTTTACTATATTTATACCTTGCCATCCTTAATATTAACACTGAAAAAAAAAGAAAATAAGCATATAAAATATTCTGACATTCCTGCCAGGGTCAACCATAGGTTTTTTTTATAAGGTAAATGTAATTTCTTAATTTTTAAAAATTAGAATAGCCTATAACTTGTTCTTTGCATAATATATTTTTAACAAGTCAATCATGAACACACAATATAACTTGGGTCATTGTCATAGCTACTTATTGCTGCTCTAATTATGTACTTTTATTAGTTTAGGGAGGGGATATTTATTTCTAGAAAGTAAAAATATTAAATCATTGCCCAATTTTCAGTTTAGTCTAATACTATTAGCTTTGAATTTTTCTGTTGGCATTGATTGGTTCCTTTCCTTTTCATGTGTGATTAAATATTTTAATATTTTTGTTGTCAAGCATTTTATGAGATGTTAAATGAATTCATCAACTGAATTTTGAGTTTAAAGAGTCTTGTAATATTGTAGTATTTTAAATTCCTGGTAAGAAGTGTATGTTCATCTTCTTTATCTTTTCTTATAGTTTAATCTAGTATTTTATCTTGTAATAAAATTTTAGTAAGTCTCTTGTGAGGTTTAGGAAACCAAAATGTAGCTGATTTGGCTCAGTGGATAGAGCATCAGTCTGCAGAGTGAAGGGTCCTGGGTTCGATTCTGGTCAAGGGCTCATGCCCTGTTTGCAGGCTGGATCCCCAGTCAGGAGCATGCACGAGGCAGCCGATCAATGATTCACTCTCATTATTGATGTTTCTATCTCTCTCTCCCTCTCCCTTCCTCTCTGAAATGAATAAAAATATATTTTTTAAAAGTACCCAAAAAGTAGTCTAAGAATACGGAATAAAGTTAGGAAAGCAGAAGTAGTATATTAATCAAACTGAAACCTTACTATTGGTGCTCCTTTCTGTCTCATCAAGGCTGTTGTGTTGTTTTTTGTTTGTTTGTTTGCTTTTTAATGCTAGGGTGAAAATAAACAGCAGGTATAAGCAGCCTGCATGGAAGCAATTCAGCAGCCATGGTAAACTTTGAAATAGAGTTGCTGTCAGCTTTCCTCAGCTAGTAGAACTGACAACATGAGGCTCTTGTTCCAAATCTATTTTTTCTTATTCTACCATATATCTTCAGTTTCCAGAGTATAGTATTCAATTAAAATTGTATTTCACAAAGTTTCTTAGCACAGTACTAAATTCCTTAGTATATAATAGGTGCTTAATAATTAGTTGCTGAATGAATGAATGTCATAATGTGTGGGGGAGAGATTATATTCTGCCTTAGAAACTGTTAGATAAACTACATAAATGATAAATTAACTTGATGTTAGAGAACAATCTAGAATTGAAGCAGTCTTTCTGCTCAATTTAGTTCCCTCTTTGTTTTTCATATGTCATTTATATCTGAAAGAGGTATCATATAAATGAATGGTCCTTTTGAAGGTGAGTGATATGCAAAGAAAAGACTGTCTTGTGTTTGTTCAGACTACTTTTAGCAAAGATGAACAAAATATTGTTTTAATCTTAAATTCCACCAATAATGAGTGGTGGTTCCATCTCTAAAGGTGATTATTTTCATGAATTTGTTTTACCTTGAACTTGTCACTGAATATAAAAGGAATATATGTTTATTTAAGATCATTTAGAAAATACAGAAAAAAATATAAAGAAGATAATTAACAAATACCCATAAAGCCATTAACAGAGGAAATAATATTACTTTTTAATACTTTAGATTCTAAAGTTTAGAATAAAAGTTTATTTTGAAAGTAATTTTAGTTCTTTCCTCACTTTAATAAGAATTATCTTTTAGATATTCAATCTACATTTTGTAGGTGTTTGTTAGATTTTTTAAAATTACTTAAACCATTTCTCTTTAATCTGTGTTCTCTTTTTGTAGAAAATGGCTTGATTTGCTTAATTTATAGGTCAATTGTATTTATCTTATTGTGTCTTTAACAGGTAGAGAAAATGCAAGCACTGGTATTAAATGGAAAGCCAGAAAAACTCTAACTCATAGGTGGGAAAGTCAACTGTGGAGAGAGAAAAAGTTTGGCTTAAGAGATCACCTACGTTACAGCTTTGTTTATCCTGAAAGTATTCCACGGAAATTTGTTTTCGAACACAAAAAATTTCTTATTCAGCAGTATAATTGTCAGCCTGCAAAATACATAGCACCAGAAGAAAGGCCCCCAAAACTTAGTGATTTTAAGAGTGCCCAAAGTCTTGGACATTTTGAAATAACCATCCTAGGTAAGTCAATTGTTTTTCCCTTTAGATATTATTCATTTAATATATTTTAAATATAGATGATAGTGTTTTGCTTCAAAAAAAAAAATGAAGTACTCTCACAAAAAAATTAAGCTCAAGGAGCGCTTTTGTTTGGTTCAAACCAAAGGAATAGAGCACTAGTTCTAGAATACATTAAGCTCTAACTGTGGGCTTTTAAACATTGGCAAGTCCTTGGAAAGTATTTGGGGGGAAAAGATTAGGAACCTAGGGAACTTTCCTAATCCCAGACCGACTACTTCTAAAACTGTTTCTGTTCTCTGTTAGCCACCACTTTCTTGCCCATATTCTCTGTCTCTTATTCAGAGCATCTGAACCATCAAAACTAAAATGTAGGTTAAAGAGAAAAGGGTACCAATCAATAGATGCTCCTATAAACAGGGGTCTGTTTAGCCCTGAAGAAAATAAAATTCTCAAGTAACTCAGAAAAAAACTACTGAATAAACATCCCATGTCTAATAAGGAAAATAAGCTAATTTCCTCAGCTTGTTTAAAATTGAGAAGTAGCTACAGAATTTATAGAATTATAAAGGAATCAATACATTTTATATATTTATTAAATTAAGTTTGTTTTTAATGAGTGAAATCTACATAAAATATTTCTAATATAAAATTTTAGCCAAAATGAACTAATTTCAAAGTCAAGGAAAACATTTTATTTGAATTTGTGTTTTAAAGAAAGATCTTGTTACCTTAAAATGAAAGAATAAGGAAAAATCATTGGCAAATGAATTAAATGCCTAAAAGAAATTGCAAATCATAGATTTTTACATCTGGACTACTGGAATAAATTACTTTGACCTTTATCAAAATTCCTTTTTCTTCTTTTCTCTCTCCTACTCCCACTTCCCTACCTTCTTACACATAAATATGAACATACATGTGTATAATCTACGAAATGTGTGAATTTCTATTCACTCTGTTAGAGTCTTACATCTAAATTTCAGATGCTTCTTTTCACTAGAGTGCATTCTTGGTCTTTGGGGGTCAAGTTTATCAGTCTTAGTTTTATATCTAGGAAACAAATATTACAGCAACAACTTCCCTTCTATCACAAAAAACTAACCATGGAAATAATGAGTTCATCTGAAAACACATAAATTGAATATTTTTCTTCTTTTTAACATGTTACTGGTTCATTAAACATCTCAAATAATTGTAAAACTTTGAGGCTTTTGCTATACACCACATAAAAGCAAGAATCAAACGTGAAGAAGGCAAATTTATCATTCTTCCCAACTACTTCCAATCCATATTAGAATTATACTGTTTTATATCTTGCCTGTTTTCAATGATTTAAGATGGTTAACGGGAATAAAAAACAATGAAAAATAAACCATGTATGGCTAAAACAAAACAGAATATTTAAAATAAAACAAAGAGTAGGTGTTACTGGGTACTTGAAAATAACCAAAATTTTATCATTTGGTAGCAATTTTATGTCGTCTTTCTGGCAAGAAGGGAAAAAATGTATTTTTTTTTTTTTCCTGATGAGATATTTTAGAGTTCAAAGAAATTTGGAAATCTTCTAGTCCTACTTTCTGGCTAGGTTGAAGTCAGGCCATATAAATTTTGTTTCCTTAGTTTTCTATTACAGAGAAAACAAAAATATGTAGGAAACCTGTTTATTTCTTTAACAAAACTCTGAATTCTAATTTTAACCAAAGAATCACAAATCCTATATAATAAAAGGGTAATATCCAAATTGACTCTAAAAGAGGAATGAACAGGAATGACTGGTCACTATGATGTGCACTGACCACCAGGGGGCAGACACTCAATGAAGGAGCTGGCCCCTGGTGATCAGTGTGCTCCCACAGGGGGTGCACCACTCAACCACAAGCCAGGCTGACGGCTGTGAGTGCAGCAGCAGTGATGGGAGCCTCTCCCGCCTCCTTGGCAGCACTAAGGATGTCTGACTGTGGCTCCTGGGCTGCCAGAGGGATGTCTGACTGTCAGCTTAGGCCCAATCCCCAGTAGACATCCCTGAAGGGTCCTGGACTGTGAGAGGGTGCAGGCCAGGCTGAGGGACACTACCATCCCAAGTGCACAAATTTTCGTGCACCAGGTCTCTAGTGTTATTAATAATATATAATCTAAATCACCTTAATTTGCAGTTTAAGAATCAACTGAAAGTAGTATCAATGACATGCTGATAATAAAGCTATCTTCCTGAAAATATCAAAATTTCCAACTTCAGATATTTTCTCAATTTCAAAGCATATTTTCTTTCTTTCACATTTGCAAGTTGGACTGCTTCTTATAGTCAATAGATGCATTGAATGCAATGTTTGCTTTTTATTTAAAACTAGGAGCCCAGTGCACAATTTGTACACTGGGGTGGGGGGTCTCTCAGTCCACCCTGCCCCTTCTCACATACTGGGAGCACTCAGGGGATATCCTACCCATGGGGTGCTGGCCTAAGCCACAGTCTGGCCTCCTTTTGTGGGAGGCAACTGGGCTGATCAGGGGAAAGCACCAGCCCCATCACCCTGCTGCTGTAGTCACTGCCAGTCACTGCAGCCACCAAGGTGTTTTCATCAACACAGACTCCAGTCCCTTCACCATGAAAAAATGACAACTTTCTTTAGGCATTTTTAAGATAAGTCTTTCATAGGATATGACATTTCTTTCTTTTTTTATCCTCACCTGAGGATATGTTTCCATTGAATTTTAGAGAATGTGAAAGAGGGAAATATAGAGAGAAACATCAAAGTGAGAGGGACACTTTGATTGGTTGTCTCATGCATGAGCCCTGACCTAGGCCCAAGCCAGAGAGGAGCCTGCAATCTAGTTACATGCCCTTGATCAGAATCAAACTCGGACTCTGCGGTCTGCAAGCCTAGGCATTATCCACTGAGCCTAACTGGCTAGGGCAGGATATGACATTTCTTAGCCCTCCAGCAATGGACCTTCGTTTTTCTCTCTAAGAGTGTGGTGGAAAAAGCCTAGATCAACTTTTTGGATTCTTATACCCAAGTTACTAAGAATATTACCAGTGGCATACAGGGAACTTAGCCAATGAGTGGTCAGAAAAGGTGTTTCCTCTGTAATCACCAGCTCCGCCCCTGCCAAGACCTAAAGCCTTGGGGTCTGGGCAGGGGACCCCTGGCTCCCTCTAATTGCTGGCTCTGCCCCTACCCAGGCCACAAGCCTCTGGCCCAGACTTGGGACCTGGGCAGGGGCCCCCCAGCTCCCTCTCATCGCTGACTCCACCACTGCCCAGGAGCCCCCTGGCTCAGGCCCTTCCCAGGTTGCTCAGGACCCACACTACGTCAGAGTGACCTGGGTGCCAAGAAAGTTCCCAGGACCCAGGCTGCTGGGCGCCTGCATATGCAAATTAACCGCCATCTTTGTTGGGTTAATTTGCATACTCTGATTGTCTGTGGGCATAGCAGAGGTACAGTCAATTTACTTCTTTGTCTATTTTTAGGTACTAGATGGCCGGTGCACAAAACTCGTGCTCAGGGGTTAAGGTGTGTCCCTCAGCCCAGCCTACACCCTCTCTAATCTGGACCCCTCAAGGGATGTCCAACTGCCCATTCAGACCCAATCCCATCGGGATTGGGTCTGAATGGGCAGTTGGACATCCCTCTCACAATCCAGGACTGCTGGTTCCCAACTGCTCTCCTGCCTGCCTTCCTGATTGCCCCTAACCTCTTCTGCCTGCCAGCTTGATTACCCCCTAACCACTCCCATGCCAGCCTGATTGATGTCTAACTGCTCCCCTGCCAGCCTGTTTGCCCCCAACTTTCCTCATCTGCCAGCCTGTTCACCTCTAACTGCCCTCCCCTGCAGGGTTGATCCCTTCCAACTGCCCTCCCTTGCAGGCCTGGTGCCTCCCAAATGCCCTTCCCTGCTGGCCATCTTGTGATGGCCATCTTGTGTCCACATAGGAGCAGCCATCTTTGACCACATGGGGGCAGCCATCTTGTGTGTTGGAATGATGGTCAATCTGCATATTACTTTTATTATTTAGGATAGAGGCCTGGTGCATGGGTGGAGGCCAGAAGGGTGTCCTTGATCAGGGTGGGGGTTCTCTTGGGGTATGGGGTGGCCTGAGCAAGGGGCCTGTGGTGGTTTACAGGCCAGCCATGCTTCCTGGTGACCCAAGTGGAGGCCCTGGTATCTGGAATTTATTTACCTTTTACAATTGAAATTTTGTAGCCTGGAGCGTAGTCAAGCCTCCTGCTTGCTCTGTGACTGCCATCATTTCTGTTTGGATTTGTTTACCTTCTATAAATGAAACTTTGTAGCCTTTATTGGAGGCCTAGGCCAGCTCCAGCAGGTGGAAATCTTGGCTTCGTTCATTGCCTGGGAAACCCAAGACTCCCTCCTGCTCACTGTGGCTGTAGCCATCTTGGTTGGGTTTATTTGCATACTCACTCTGATTGGCTGGTGGGTGTAGCTGGTGGATGTAGCAGAGTGGTGGTTAATTTGCATATTACTCTTTTATTATGTAGGATGATACCTGTTAGCCCCCAGCAGTTTGGCTTAGTGGATAGAGAATCAACCTGTGGACCGAAGGGTCCTAGGTTCGATTCTGGTCAAGGACCCATGTCTTGGTTGCAGGCTTGATCCCCAATAGAGTGTGTGCAGAAAGCAGCCAATCAATGATTCTCTCTCATTACTGATGTTTCTATCTTCTTCTTCCTTCCTCTTTGAAATCATTTAAGAAACTAAGTAAATAAGATAAAATACTTATTAAATTGAAGGTATATCTGAGATTTAAATTTAATCTTAGCATCAAGGAAATAAGACACCAGAATGTGCACATTTACAAGGGTTTTGCAGCATTGCTAAGATTCATGAGGTAGCTATACTTGTAATACTGAGTTGGAATCCTCAGTAAATTCTAGATAACATGGCTATTTTAGTTTGTGAAAACCAAATTTTAGTAATTCCTTGCAAATCTTTAGCCCTTGGTCATATGTTATATTAAAGCTATGGAATTTTGTGTCATTTGCCCATAAAAAGCAAATAATGCACTTGCATTTCTGGATTAATTTACAGCTCAACAGGAAGGACTTTGTTTACACATCATTGTGTCATACTAAGCAGTTAAGAATCATTGTAAGGATGAATAGGAGAGATATTAAGGTCATAGAATCTATAGGACTCTGTGACAAATATCATGGAAGAATGAAAGGAAGGAGTTATGGATAGTTCCCAGGTTTCTGGTTTGGGTAACTATAATAGATAGAATTCATACAGTTTTGCTCTGTGTATTTACCCTTGCTTCAACCGCAATGGGCTCCTTACTGTGGCCTATACTTTTGGCTACTCCATTCCCTGCCTGAAATACCCTCCTGTTTACTTAAAAGCTATTCATCCTTCATACCCTTGCCTCTAGGAAGTCTTTTTCTACTCTAAATGACATTGACCCTAAATGTAAAAAGATGACAGTAATAGATCAGGATTCAGTTTGGTTGGTCCCCTATAGCCTCTTCTCTACTGCAGCCTCTTATAGCCCTAAGAGTGAGTTAGTGACATTTATATATTTGAGGACAGATTAGACTTAGTTATTATGGTGCATACCATACCATACCATACCATACCATACCATACCATACCATAACACACCATACCACACCATACCACACAATAACATAACATGTATTCTTAAGTCCAAATGCAATAAGGGAGCCAATAGTCTTCTCATGAATGATGAAAAAAGCACCATACAAGTCTTCATTTATGTGACTAGGCCATTCTCTGCATATTAAGATTTTAACCTTCAAGCTTTCATCAGTAGGGAAATTTTTTTGTAATGTTATTTCCAGCAGTGGTGAAAGACTGCACTGAACCGTCTTCCTCTTTCAACCAATAGCATGTATTCATAAATGTTTGCACAGCTAAGAATTTAGGCCACAGTTTTCAAAGTGTCTTTTTTTCATCCTCACCGGAGGATAGCATGGAAAGGAGGAAGAGCGGGAGGGAGGGAGTGGGGGAGAAGGGAAGAGAGAGAGAAAAAGAGAGAGATCCTCAATGTGAGAGAGATACATCAATTGGCTGCCTCCCACACATGCACAGACTCAGTTGGGGAATGAACCTGCAACCCAAGCACATACCCTTGGCTGGGAATCAAAACTCAACCCTTCAGTGCGTGGACTGATGTTCCAACCACTGGGCACACTGGCCAGGGCTCAAACTGTCCTTTACAGGTGCAAAGCTATTTGGCATATGTTAGGATCAAATCAGCAACTTGGCTTCATTAGTACCATATACTAACCCACTAAGTTTTAATAAATGTCATTTTTCTTTAACAGGTCTGAACCATGAGAGAGCAATTGATGTTGCATTTCTACCCCTGTACCATCCAGAAGATATCCAAACATCTCAAATAGACACATTATTAGCCTGTATGAATTACAGCTGTGTGTATCCACAGAAAGTAACTGATTCTGAGAAGATGCCAGGTCCAAGAGCCCTTGCAGGTATTACCATCTCAGTGTTCTTTTCATTCAGAAAATAAAATTAGTATGTAAGTAGTCATGTTTTGTGGAATGTGCACCTGAAACCTGTATAATTTTGTTAATCTGTGTCACCCCAATATGTTCAATAAAAAGGAAAAAATAGCCAAAACCAGTTTGGCTCAGTGGTAGAGCGTCAGTCTGCGGACTGAAGGGTCCCAGGTTCAATTCCGGTCAAGGGCATGTGCATTGGTTGCAGGCACATCCCTGATGTGGGGTGTGCAGGAGGCAGCTGGTCGATGTTTCTCTCTCATCGACATTTCTAGCTCTCTATCTCTCTCCCTTCCTCTCTTTATTGTAAAAAAATCAATAAAATATATTTTAAAAAAAGGAAAAAATATTGTAAAAAGTCTTAACCTTAAGATGTTTTTATATAAACCAGAGGTGGGGACCATCTGGTCTGCCAGGTGTATCATTTGGTTTGGCCCTGCCAAGGCAACCACAGGTGGGACACAAAATTCAATAAATCTAGGAGCTTTCTTCATAGCAATAAAAATTTTAAGTTAATCATTTTATATGTCCTGCAAATGAAGTTATAAATATCCAAGTGGCCCTTGGCAGAAAAAAAGGTTCCCCACCCCTGATATAAATAGTCATAGCCTTAACATCCTACCTAATAAAGAGGGAATATGCTAATTGACCCTCATGCCATCGCAAAGATGGTAGTGCCCACAGCCAATAAGGAGGGAATATGCTAATTGCCTGCCCTACCCTCAAATATGGCAACACCCACAGCCAATAAGGAGGGAATATGCTAATTGAATATCATACTCAAAGATGGCAGCACCCACAGCCATAAGATGGCAGTGCCCAGTCCCCTCAACCCCCAAGCTACTCAGCACCGGCCCATGGCACAGGCAAGCCTCAGACATGGGTTGCCCAGCCACCCAGGGCTGGCCCAAGGCACAGGCAAGGATCAGATGGTGGCTGCCCAGTCACCCAGGGCCAGCCTGAGGTGCATCAAGCCTTGAATGGCAGCTGCCCAGCCACCCAGGGCCACCCAAGGCTCAGGTAACCAGGGCTGGCCAAGGCTTGCACTGCCATCAGTGGCAGCAACAAAAGTGTGACAGGGGCACTTGCCTTCCCCTGATCGCCAGATTGCCTCCTGCCCCTGAGGGCTCCTGGACTGTGAGAGGGAGCAGGCTGGGCTGAGGGACCACCCCCCTCCTCCAGTGCATGAAAATTCCTCTAGTTTAATATAGTTTGAAGAATTATTTTATAAATGTACCCTAAGACTTCTAAGTGAAAATATATATTTAAAATAAAATAGAATAGCCCTAACTGGTTTGGCTCAGTGGATAGAATGTCGGCCTGTGGACTCGAGGGCATATACCTTGGTTGCAGGCACATCTCCAGTAGGGAGTGTGCAGGAGGCAGCTGAATCGATGTTTCTCTCTCATATATGTTTCTAACTCTCAATCCCTCTCCTTTCCTCTCTGTAAAAAAATCAATAAAATATATTTTTTAAATAAAATAAAATAGAATGGATTAATGGTTTTTATTCCAGGCAGGCATTAACCATGTTCTCTTACAGACTTGCCAGTATTTCTCTGTGGCTGAGAGTCCACCTATAAGTTAAGAGGTCCCTGGTTTGATTCCCAGTCAGGGAACATGTCTAGGGTTCAGGCTCGATCCCCAGTAGGGGACATGCAGGAGCACCTGATCAATGTTTCCATCTCTCCATCTCTCTCCCTAAAAAAAAGGTTTTTAACTAAAGAGTTTTCTCTTATAATACAGTTCTGAATGTAAGTATTGGACCTACTAGTAAGTGGTATATGCACATGAGAGCAATGCAAATTTCTAATCTCTCTTTTTAACTCAGATGAGACAATTTATCCTCTCACCTTATAATTGCCTGAAATTTTAATACCTCCATAGTATAGAACAATTGTTTTCTCTTATAAATGTTTAGTTATTCAAGTGATATGCAATAAACTCCTTGAGGAGTGATAGCAATGTATGTATCAATAATTCCGATAGTAAAAACCTTCAACAAAATACTTAGGCTACTACACAATATGCCAAAAATTTATATATACCAAAATTATTTATATATACCTATAAAATTATGTGTCCATGATTAACTTATTTACTTTCTCTGTCATTTCTATTTCCTAAGCATTTGGTAAAGTTTTTAGAAGGTTTCATTGAGCTTATAAGGATATTACACTTAAAATATGTTTTAAGAAAGCCTTTATTATTTTTTTTATTTTTTATTAAATTATTATATGTGTACATATACCATTGCGCCCCCCCCCCCCCATACATGCCCTCTGTCCCCAGAGTTTTGTGTCCATTGGTTGTACTTATATGCATTTATACAAGTCCTTCGGTTGATCTCTCATCTTTCTCAGATCTCCCTACCCTCCCTGCTGTAATTTGACAGTCTGCTTGTTGCTTTACTATCTCTATATCTATCTTTTGGTTCATCAGTTTATAATGTTCTTTATTATCCATAAATGAGTGAGGTCATGTGGTGTTTCTCTTTCATAGACTGGCTTATTTCACTCAGCATGATGTTCTCCAGTTCCATCCAGGTTGCTGCAAATGATGAGAATTCCTTCTTTTTTATGGCAGCATAATATTCCATCATGTAGATGTACCATAGTTTTTGGATACAGTCATCTGCTGATGGACACAATCATTTGCTGATGGACACTTAGGCTGTTTCCAAATCCTAGCTATTGTAAATTGTGCTGCTATGAACATAGGGGTGCATATATCCTTTCTGATTGGTGTTTCTAGCTTCTTGGGATATATTCCTAGGAATGGAATTACTGAGTCAAATGGCAGTTCCATTTTCAGTTATTTTGAGGAAGCTCCATACTTTTCTCCACAGTGGTTGCACCAGTCTACTTTCCCACCAGCAGTGCACGAAGGTTCCTTTCTCTCCACAACATCACCAACACTTATCCTTTGTTGATTTGTTGATGTTGGCCATTCTGATAGGTGTGAGATGGTACCAAATTGTTGTTTTGATTTGCATCTCTTGGATAATTAGTGACATTGAGCATGTTTTCATGTGCCTCTAGGCCTTCCTCCTGTCTTCTTTTGAGAAGATTCTATTTAGATCCATTGCCCATTTTTTAATTGGCTCAATTATATTCCTTTTATTAAGTTGTATAAGCTGTTTGTAGATGTTGGAGATTAAAACTTTATCAGTGATAACATTTGCAAATATGTTCTCCCATACAGTGGGCTTTCTTGTTGTTTTGTTGATGTCTTCTTTTGCTTTAAAAAAGCTTTTTATTTTGATGTAGTCCCATTTGTTTATTTTCTCTTTAGCTTCCATTGCCCTAGGGGCAGTATCAGTGAAGAAGTTCTTTTGGCATATGTCTGAGATTTTGCTGCCTGTGGATGCCTCTAGTATTTTTATGTCTTAAACATAAGACAGTCCTGTATCCATTTTGAGTTTATTTTTGTGTATGGTGTAAGTTGGTGATCTCATTTCATTCTTTTGCGGGTATCTGTCCAATGTTCCCAACACCATTTATTGAAGAGACTGTCTTGACTCCATTGTATGCTCGTGCCTCCTTTGTCAAATATTAATTGAGCATAGTGACTTGGGTTGATATCTGGGTTCTCAATTCTGTTCCATTGATCTATTAATATATGTCTGTTCTTGTGCTAGTACAAGGATGTTTTGAGAATAGTGCCTTGTAATACAGCTTGAAACCTGGTATTGAGATCCCTCCTACTTTACTCTTCTTTCTCAGGATTGCTGTGGCTATTTGGGGTCTTTTATTGTTCCAAATGAATTTAGGGAGAGTTCTTTCTAGGTCAGTGAAATATGCTGTTGGAATTTTAATAGGGAGTGCATTGAACCTATAAATTGCTTTGGGAAGACTGGACATTTTAATGATATTGATTCTACTAATCCATGAACATGGTATGTTCTTCCATCTATCTACATCTTCCTCTATCTCTTTTTTCAGTGTCCTGTAGTTTTCCGCATATAGGTCTTTTACCTCCTTAGTTAAGTTTATTCCTAGGTATCTTAATTTTTTTGGTGCTATGGTAAATGGGATTGCTTTTTTAGTCTCTGTTTCTGTAAGTTCACTGTTGGTATATAGAAATGCCATAGATCTCTTGGCGTTAATTTTGTATCCTGCTACATTGCCAAATTCATTTATTGTCTATTAGTTTTTTGATGGAGTCTTTTGGTTTTTTTATGAACAATATCATATCATCTGGAAATAAGGAAAGCTTTACTTCTTTTACAATTTGGATGCCTTTTATTTCCTCTTCTTGTCTAATTGCAATGGCTAGTACTTCCAGTACTATGTCAAACAGGAGTGGTGAGAGTGGGCATCCTTGTCTTGCTCCTGTTCTTAGAGGCAATGGTTTTAGTTTTTGCCCATTGAGTATGATGTTTCCTGTGGGTTTATGATATATAGCTTTTATTATGTTGAGATATGATCTATTATGTTGAGATATGTTCTATTCCCCACCATGTTGAGAGTTTTTATCAGGAAAGGGTGTTGGATTTTATCAAATGATTTTTCTGCATCAATTGATATGACTATAGGATTTTTATCTCTCAATTTGTTTATGTGTTATATCACGTTTATTGATTTGTGGATATTGTACTATCCTTGCATTCCTGGAATAAATCTTACTTGGTCATGGTGTATGATATTTCTGATGTTCTGCTGGAGCCAATTTGCTAGAATTTTGTTGAGGATTTTGGCATCTACATTCATGAGGGATATTGGCCTGTAATTCTCTTTCATTGTGTTGTCTTTATCTGATTTTGGTATTAGGTTGATGCTGGCTTCATAGAAGGAGTGTTCCTTCCTCTTGAATTTTTTGGAATAGTCTGAGGAGGATAGGTTTTAGTTCTTTCTTGAATGTTTTGTAAAACTCTCCTGTGAAGCCATCTGGCCTGGGCTTTTGTTTGCTGGAAGCTTTTTGATGACTGTTTCAATTTCTTCCCAAGTCACTGGTCTATTGAGGTTTCTAGA